TGTGGCCTGTCCGAAGCCTGCCTCTTCTCTTCGCCCACGGGCCCCGCAGGATAGACCTGCGGCCGTCCACAGGAAGTGCTACGGTCAGCACCAGGGCTGCCGCAGCACAAGCCTTGCTGGCTCAGCACCTGGGCTGTCCAACAAGGCCCCCGCAAACAGCTGCCAGTCTATTAGCACAGCCAGAACAGAGGCATTGCTACTTCGTTTTCTTCTTTTTCTTCTTCTTCTTCTTCTTCTTCTGCTTCTTCTTCTTCTGCTTGCCATTGTCCAGCCACGCAGATAGACCTGCGGCCGTCCACAGGAAGTGCTACGGTCAGCACCAGGGCTGCCGCAGCACAAGCCTTGCTGGCTCAGCACCTGGGCTGTCCAACAAGGCCCCCGCAAACAGCCGCCAGTCTATTAGCACAGCCAGAACAGGGGCATTGCTACTATGCTTCTTGCTGCCTGTTGCTAGTGGTTTTTCTGATCTTGTGATGCTTCTGGGTCTTCTTCTTAGTGCTGCTGCTGTGATTGCTGTTGTTGGTGTATATCCTGGGGTCGCAGGGCACAACCTTGGCATTGGCATCTCCACCTTTGTGGGCTTTAGCGCATGCCACGCAGCCTCCACTCCTCTTGAAAAGGGGTCGGCGGCACCCGGGCGAAGCCCTTACAATATATATATGCATATATCCACATGATGATCACACCACTGCTGGAGGCGCAAGGCCTGCATCTGCTGAATCTGCATTGGGGTCACCACCACCTGCGAGGTGTGACATCCATTTGTTCACCCCTTTGCCTCACCAGAATACTGGAAAACGCAAGGGAAGCGATAGATCGGTGCGACAAATCTTTCTTTCTCCATCTTTCTGCAGTAGGTCCAAAGGTATTGAGAAACTGGGACCGTTTTTTGAGCCCCAGGTACCATGGCAACTTGCCGTTCATCAAAGGAAAACCCTTTGCATCTTTGCCTGGGGGTAACTTGGCACGAAGAAGGCGGCTGAAAGTGGATTCAGTTGTTGAAGAGCATCCGGCCTCAGGATCTAGGGTCTCTAACTCTACATGAATCGAAGCATGGACAGCTGAGATACCCGTACCTGCTGGCGCCGGTGTTGTTGAACTCCTGGGGCAGAAACTGAAACTTGTCGTGCATGTTGTCAGCCTCACAGCTTTGTTTCAATTCACCTCCGTTAAATGACAAAGGTGTGCTGTCCACCACTCATCCCTTTATCAAAGCCTCTTCGGCAGCTGCCCGGGCTTCAATGACAGCTAGGCCAGGTCTCCTTCTACATATGCAGCAGATTCCCGAATCTAGTGGCAAACCTAGAAAACACTCAACCAGAAGAACAGAATCGCTACTACTAACAAGTGCATCCCTTACTAGTAACAAGGGCATCGCTACTAGTAGCAACGAGCTACTAAGTTCGAGGCCATCGCTATCAGGTTGGAGGCCATCGCTATTAGGTTGGAGGCCATCGCTATTCGGTTGAAGGCCATCGCTATTAGGTTGGAGGCCATCGCTACTAGTAACAAGAAGCTACTAGGTTGGAGGCCATCGCTATTAGGTTGGAGGCCATCGCTACTAGTAACAAGAAGCTACTAGGTTGGAGGCCATGGCTATTAGGTTGGAGGCCATCGATACTAGTAACAAGAAGCTACTAGGTTGGAGGCCATCGCTATTAGGTTGGAAGCCATCGCTATTAGTAACACGAAGCTACTAGGTTGGAGGCCATCACTATTGGGTTGGAGGCCATTGCTACTAGTAACACGAAGCTACTAGGTTGGAGGCCATCGCTATTAGGTTGGAGGCCATCGCTACTAGTAACAAGAAGCTACTAGTAACAAGTGCAAACGAGAGAATTGGTCTCATGTCGTCTTTCTGGCCTTGGCCTCCGACGGTCGCGAGGGACCTTCTGGTGAGGCGGAGCCTCGCAGGTGTGATACTGCGCAGTTTGGGCTTCCGCCAAAGCCTTGGGCTTCGCCAGTTTGGGCTTCCTGGGCTTCCGACACCACTTAAAGCATGTTCATAGCAAAGGCGGCAAAGCCACTGATTCCTTGGCGATCCAGCCCTTCTCGACAAGTTTTCATTGGACAGAGATGCTCTCATATAAGGTGGCTGCTGATGCTTCACACAGTTGCGCCCACCACGCCACGCATCATGATCCTTGAATCTGAAAGACAAATCGCCCACGCAGCGCATACAGAGCCAACAGCGACCAAACCAGGCTGTCGGGCGCATCCATCGCAAAGCTTCCATGCCATGGCACACTGGCCAGCCTCACAGCAATGCAAAGTTCAGCCCGAAGAATGCGGAATCCTAGCTGAGAGATTGACCCAGGCATGAACAAAGAACTGCTCATCCCGAGGTGGACCTTGAAAGTCTCTGAATCAGCTTCGGAGACACCAACTGTCCAATTGGTTCGTGGCCGCTAGATTCGAAGAAGAATTGCTCTGTCCCTTCAACATGCTGAGGACCTGAGCTTCTTGTCGAAAAGACAATCCCACAGCTTGCGAGACCAAGTCTCCTGCACCTCTGCTTGTGCTCACGAATCCTGGAGGTACGTCCGGCACGTTTGATCAACACATTGTGAAATGTTTCTGGAGGTTTAAGGAGAACTGTGCTCTAGCACTGCCGGTGTAATCGTAGAAATACAAACACAGAAAGACAACATGGACAACCAACATCTCGGAGCTCCATCGCCAGGTGACATTGATTCGAGCGCCTGAAGAGTGATTCATCACAAAACACGACGTGCAGCGGAGCGAATCTTTCAACGTTGAGATTCCAGCGGACCGAATCGTGGCTCGTTGACTCGATGTTGCGCACATCGCAGGGCACAAAGTGAACACAATGCTTCTGGCAAAGGCCCTGCGAGGAAGGAGAGCGCTACTAGGGGCTCCTGGCATCGCTACTCTCCTGGCCTTACTACTAGGAGCAAGGACGCTAG